TTGATTAACTGGCTGTTGATTAACTACCTAGCTATTGATTGACTGGCTGTTGATTGACTGGCTCTTCCGAGCTGTGTGCCATCGTCGTCTCGATAGAACCTCTTGCCAGGTAAGGGCTCGGACAAGAATCTTCCTGCTGACATCTCACGGATGTTTTGTAGGTTGAACTCAAACTTTTCGTGTTTCCCACGTCCTTTTGTTAAGAAGAAGATTCTTAATGGAACACAAACTAGACCATCGCGGTGATATTGTGCTTTTTCAGGCTTGAAAGCGACTTCATTGTGGGACCAAGCCCAATGTAGAGTTTTGCTCAAAGTGAGCATATTCCACGCTTGATCAGTCTTTTGGTAGAAAAAGATATCAACCAAGGGGAAAAGACCTTCAAAACAGGCAAAACACCATTTCCGCATTAGAGAAAATTTCTCTGTGCTGCTTTGTATAGAGAATGGGATGATGTGACAAGCCTTCCTCTGAGAAGGAGATTGCACGTAGCGATGCCGCTATCCTTGTGAGTCCCTCTTGGCCCACACTGGTGTCGTGAAAGTATCATAAAGAATCGTTCTTGAAGCTCTTCTTCGTAGCTTGGAAATTTGGGTGTCTTTCTCGTGCCGGCTAGATAGGAGGCGTTCAAGCTCTGGGATCGAGCATGCTGGATGGTTGAGATAACCATCTAAAGCGTGTTCGTTGATGTGGCGAAAGTGAGGCCATGATTGAAACCGATTCAAGGTGAAGAGGATGAGGTAAAAAGACTGAGGCACGGGATCAAATAGTGTTGGTCCCGTCAGGGATAACACGTACGTACGTATCACGAGTCGATTTGGTTGGTGTTGATTGCTTGTTGTGTTGTTGTTGAGTTGTTGTTGTGTTGTTGTTGTGTGTTGCAGGCTCGCCTGCAGTGAATGATCTAGTTTACAAAAGTGGGTCTATAGTTGATTTGAGCCAATGAGAGGGCTGCAGCCAGATATTAACACTGGCAGTTTTTCTCTCTTTGAAGCTTAAAGTCGTCAAAACCGCGATAAAAACATAATTCCTCTGATGTGTACATAACCCGGCATAGGGGTTTACCGCTCCTTGATTTATTCCGCCTGCCACGTACGGAAATTGACGGTCATACCCCGCCTAGACAGTGTCTATTACGAGCACTGTGTAACACCCGCCTTCTGTTCTCACATGCACGCACCTCTTTGATCTCTGGGTTTAAAGTAATAATTCATGTGCCACTATTAGCTGCCATCAAGGTCTTCCTTTTTTGCAGTTTAAAAATGGTCGCTGGTGGTACCTCACCACCCGCGACCAGCTACTGTAGCGGCTCTAGTGTCTGTTGGTGGATGGCTAGCGGCCCATTATAAGTTTAAGCGCCAACGCGTCTTGTTTGTACACTGAAGCGGCCGCTGGCATGCTTCCGTCAACGTTGAGGACTCGAAAATCCTCCAAAACCCATATTTGAGCAACTTTACGATGACTTGTCCCTGATAAAAGACAATTTTTTCCCCATACACGCCAATAGAACTGATCTTGCCGTCGCAGGCAGCGGCAGCGCGCCACGATGCCGGCCTCTGGGGATGATGAGATTACCAACTTGGTCGCCGATATTGTCGCTGGTACGAGAGTGCTGATCTACCCCTCAAGGCTCTCAAGAGACGAAGCCGTAATTCTCAAAGAAAATTTGCTGACAAATTCATAAATTTCAACAGCCTCCAAGCTGGCCCCCAAGGCGCGCGCAACCCTCATCAAGCCGTCCATCAACAGCCTGGCGTCGCTCGCGTACGAGCGCGGGCTGCTGCCTGACGCGCTCGACGCGCTGCTGGAGCTCGTCACCACGCCCAGCCTACTGGACCAGGCGAGTCTGGGCGTGCTTCTGCGCGGGCTTTACCCGGTGACGCGGGTGTCGGCCGCGTGCGTGCTGCGCGTCGTCGGCGCGCTGGGCCACGGCCGGCTGAAGCCGGCCATGGCGATCCAGGCGCTGCTGCTGCGGTGGCTCGTCATGGTGTACCACGTACTGGAGACGCCGGGCGTCTTGTCGCAGGCATACCCAGTGCTGTTCAACCTCCTGGACACGGCAGCGATTCGTCCCCAGCTGACGCATCTCCTGGCGCTGATTACGAGGAGAAAGCACGTGCGACCGTTTCGCATTCAGAATCTGTAGGTTTCCCTTTGTGATTGTGTGTGTGTGTTGTGGGAACTGAGACGGAGATTAACGATGCTTGGGGCAAAGGTTGAATTTATCGCGGCAAACGGGTAATGACCCAACGCTGGTCGGCTTGCTGCGCGTATATAAAGACTACTATCCGGAAATCATTGTCGGCGAGGCAGTGCGTGGGCGTGCGTCTGCGTTCAAGGTACGATGTCGATATCTAGAGGGTAAACGTGGGACGGGGAATTAACTCTTGGAGCAGCATCCCGATCCGTCATGGCGAGAAAGGCTGGACGCGCTGCAAGAAGCGCACATACAACAGACGCAAGAGCGCATGTCCCGCCTGCGCGACGCTTTCCGCGTGCACAAGACTGTCGGTCGCGGCTCGAGAACCAAGGCCCTGCCGTCTGTGCATACATCACACGCAACCGAGGTCCGTTTGAGCGGGACAAGATTAGCACTCTTGTTGACAAGACGACTAACATGGCCCCCATGACAATCTAGGACTCGATCACACTGGAAGAAATCGAAAACGTGCAGAGCTTCGTGGAAAAGATGGACAGGCTCGAGCTGCCCAACCAGCTGGTCGCAGTGCTGGCCGACCCGCTGCTCCAGAAGCTGCTGCTGCTGCGGCCGAGCGGCGAGTCGTTTCTGCGCGTCGCCAACTGGCTCAACGCGGCGCTGCAGGACGTTGTCGACGGGGACGCGGACGAGGCGACGTTGTGGGAGATGATGGAGGTTGTGCGGGACTTTGTCGTGCAGACCAAGGTGAGAATGAAGAGAACGGCCAATTTTCGAAAGCTGAATGCGTGCTAATGGCGCAGAACTTGCCGTCGACGATACTGAATTTCTTTGCCCGTTTCTTTCAACTCTGGAGCGGCTCGGGAAATAAAGACTGCATTTTCGAGATTCTGGCGTATTCGCCCCTCCATGACTTTCAAGGTAAACAGCATTTTTGACCTACCATGTGCATGATGACACCCGAATTTAGTATCTAACACGAAGGGCAGAACTATATCAGTCTATTTTCCAGCCGCTTGAAGCTGCCGTTGCCGATAACCAGCCGGCCACGCAGCTGGGCTTGCTCAACATGTACACCAACCTCGTCCATCACTGGGCCTCTCTTTTAAAATCGAGCAAGAATATCCCGGCACATGCGAGCCGGACCATTACCAGCACCGTGCAGCATGCCGGCACGCTCGCCCTCACCCTCCTGCAGACCAGCCCGACGCTGTCCAGCGAGTCGGCCATCCTCGCCTTCTACGAGCAGAACATGGCGCTGCTCACCGACGACACGCTCAAAAACTACATTTGCATCGAGCTTCCACCTTCTGCTCTCATCTACCTTCTCGTCTTTAGCCAGTCGCTGGCGACCGTCGCGCGCCTCTGCCACATCATGGCGTCGTACAAGAAGGGCTTCGAGACGGCCATGAAGATTCGCGGCAACCCCGACACGCCGACCATTGACGCGTCGTCGTACACGCACCTCGAGGTGACCCGATATAACGGCAACCTGCTCGACATTGTCAACCTGCACTGGCGGATGCACGCGTTTAGTGTGGAAAAGGAGGTGGAGCAGGGGTGCATGGTACCGGGGCCGGCGCGCGCGCGGCTCGAGCGGTACGTGGCGGCGGTGGACCGCGGGTTCACGCTCGCGAGCATGCTCTCGCTGTCGTACTCGCCGCAGTTTTGCCTGCAGAGCATCGAGACGCTACGTGCGCTCGAGGACCGCCAGATTGCTGTCGATGCGGCCATTGAGACGCGCCACGCTGGGCCCGTCTCGCAGGACAGCCTGCGCAAGCTCGGCACTTCGGGCGGCATCCGCATCGGCTTCAACGGGTATCGGGCTAGCGTGCTGGAGACCCTGCGAGGCAAGGGCCTCGGCGGCGTGGAGGAGCTGCTCAAGGTGAGCATGCCGTCGGTGGCCAAGGCGATTGAGAGCCGGGCAGGCAGGCCAACGTAAGGGAGCTGCCTTTGTTGTTATACAGGGCGCTAGGTCGGGTAGTCAATGACGAGACACGATGAACGATGAATATACTATTAGAGCGCAAGGTGCATTCGTAGCGGCCTGTGAGCTATGCGGGCGACCTCTGACGGATATAGCGGTTATCAAAAGGCGAGTACGGGTACGTCTAGAGATTTCGCCTTTATGTTGAATTAATTTCCATTCAAATGTACATATTCTCGTATAAACTATTCTGCCAACGGAGTTCAAGCGTACTGAACACTAGCATTGGGTATGCGGCTAAACGTTGGGCGCCGAGTCCTTCGAGCTGAGCCCATTCATGCGATTTGTAACGAAATATCAAGATCCTTTGAAACCCCGCATTAAGGTGAAGTGTATAATGAGAATTTAAGTAACGATAGGGCTTGCCAAAATATGTGATGCAGATAATATTATACCTTTTCATAATTTAACTCTCCGTTGTGATTAGAGCGTACTCGTGGCTCTTGCCAGCACCTGACTACCCCGCATAAAATGTAGGTTGGTTGCTCAGCCGAATCTCCCGTCCGCAAAGCATCTGCTTCAATTTCGGCGTTTTTTACCGTATTACTCGACGCCAGTCGTTTGCATTTTGCTCGATCAAGGACCGCGGGCAGTAATGGAACCACCAAGAGCGACCGCCCGGCTCCTAACGAGCGAGGAAATGCGCCAAGGTATGAGCAACGCGTAATGTAGCGGTTGCGGAAGTAACTTACCATCTTTCATATTTTTGACATGAATAAAAGGTCTTGATGCCTTGGACGAAGAGATTGGAAAGAGTGAATTGCTGATGAGCGTGGCCCCTATCCGGCTCATTACTGTCGGCGGCTCCCTGGCTGTCCTGCTTTGCGGCAACCGAACCTCGTCTACGGATATCGACTGCATCCTAGACCCCCAGGTGGCCGAAGATAGCGACTACGCCGAAGAATGGAGCAAGGTCGTGGCGACTGCCGCGGATGCGGTCCACCTAGAGGACGACTGGCTTAACGACCAACTTGGCATCTTTGTCCGCCGAGATAAGCGCAAGATGCTATTCCTAGAATCCGTCCAGCAAGACATTGCCATTTACGAAGGGAAGAATGTGGTTATTTATGCTGGACGTCTCGACTGGGCACTAGAGCGTAAGATTCGGCGAGTCGCCTATGCAACGGAGCGTCGGCAGGTGAAAAATGTCGATACGACGGATGCCGCGGCTATTATCAAGCTGATGGTAAGCCGAGTCGACTACCCTACGCCGCTGAGCTTTGAATTCATTAGAGGGTTAAATTATAATGGGTTTGATGTTGCGCCTACAGACGAGGCTATCCGAGAGGTTGCGCGGTACTATAAAGAAACATATGGTGATGATGGCATAATTGAGCAATAAGAAAACGGGCATAGCGCTAGTTAGAACAGGCAAGAATAATAGAGTGGTGGCAGTTACACAGAGTAAAAGTCGCCAGTCGCTATATAAATGTTGCGCCGGTGAAATGGACTTTCCATATAAGTGGTACGTGTGCCGAGGATTAATTTCTCTGGGAGCTTCCCCGCGGTTGATGTCCACGACGGATACGCTTCAGGAGAAGTCGGGGGCGGTTCCTCATATCTATTTGTAAACGAGCCATCATTGCGCCGTAATCCTAGCTGCAGCCTCCAATTAAAGCAGTCAACAAGAGTCTCGGCCGTCGCAGCCATGACGGCGTACTGCTCCTCGTTCTCGCACGCCGGCGGTTCTGGAATGCCAGCCGTGGGCCAGCCCGTCTGCCGCCAAAAGTACTGCGTCTCGGACGCGATGAGGTTCCCGTCCCTCGCGCACACCGCCTCGTATATGCGGTACAGGGCGCGCAGCGGCGTATCGCGGCTGCGCCAGAGCGGCATAATGCGGAGCAGCTGGAGGTCGTGCGCGCGGCGGTCCACCGCGTCCGGGTCGACGCGCCGCGGCGGCGGTGGAAGCTCGGCGGCAAACTTCCACGCTGGGAACGGCCATAGCAGCTCCAGGACGAAGAGGACTGGGCTCCGCAGCGGCGGGTACCGGATGTCCCGCGCGTAGCGCACGGAGCGGCGCAGGCCCAGCGGCGACTGCGACGGGAAGAGGCGGCGTCGGAGCTTGATCAGGGGCCACCGGTATTTCATGGGCAGGTAGCGAAAGTTCCACAGATACGCGGCCGCCGCCCGCAACCACTCCATGTTTGTTGACGCGTCTTGTGGTGATGGCAGTCGTCCGCAGTGTTTTTTCTTTTTCGTGCCCATGGATTGGAATGGGCGGCAGGTTCGCCGCTTAGGCGGTGACGTTGAGCAATTGACCATGCAATCGCGGGTAGGTAGGCCCACGTGATTTAGGCGACTTATAAAAGAATGGCGGTTCTTCACTCCCGCTACTTAAAGATAAATAGTTAAATGGTCTTATTCATATCGTCTTATATGAAAACATCGTAGACCCTAGGGGAGCCTATAGCTATAACTACCTGCTCTCCTATTAGCACGTCTAGAAGTATATACTGAGCGCTAGTAGACGTAAGGTATTGAATTAAACTAAATTCAGAAGAGATAGACCTTTAATAATTCGTAAGCTATTATTATATACTTCTGGCAAGTAGGGCTGATGTCAATCGACCAAATCATTTTGGTTAGACGCCACTATCTTGGGCTGCTCATCAAGGGCGTGAAGCTACTGCTGTTACTACTAGCAGGACGCCGCTACGGCATGCTCAAAACCCACGTTGGCACGCGCCTGGTCACCAAGCTGTTATCGAGTCAATACAGCGTGCCTAAGGTAATCCAGAGCCAATTACCACCCGCAATGCTGCTCAGAATTGACTGGGTCAACTGATAGAAGCAAACTATCAGGCCTGAATTGGAATTCGAACTTGTTATACGGTGTCTTTCTCATCACCAAAATGTAGGGTATTTCATGAAGAAAAGTAAAATGTAAGCCGAATTCAACCTAGAATCCACGCATCATGCTAAATGTTGAAAAAACAAAAAAACGCCGAAATCTAAATCCTTGAGAGGTCTGCAGTGTTGAGGCCTGCGCTCCGCTACTCAAAATGTCACAACGCCCCCACCCCTAGAAAGCACTGTCGTTGAATGATGTATGCTATACCCTCTATGCCCTTTCGATACTCCGAAGCCAAGTGTTAAAAATAGGCTGAGAGCCCGGCTGAATGGCCAAGAAATGGCAAATGCAGTAGTCGGTGTTTCTCATGTTAAAATTGAAAAACGTCGTAGTCATGATGCGTTGCTTGAAAGTGAAAAGTGTTGAATAAAACAAGAAGAAGAAGATGGGAAGGAAAAAGAAACTATTTCGTCTTGGGCTTGGACTCGTCTCCATATCCGCCGACACCGATGCCGCCAAAGCCGTATGTCTTGCCCTCGGAGCCGCGGTTGATGCCGCTGCGAGGCCCGCGGGCGTGGAGGTCTGCGCGGAGCCACGTCATGACAAGCTCGCCGAGGCGCGAGTTGCCCGTCTCGGCGACGGTGCCGTCAATGGACGCAAGCATGGCATCGGCCGTGTCCCACTCCTTGACGGCGCCCATGTGCATGTGGACGAGATGGGTGGGCCAGCCGGCGAGGTTGTCGAGGATATGGGTGGCGTAGAGGATGGTGCAGGCGCGCGTCTCGGTCTCGGTCTTGAGCCAGGCGAGGAACTGGGCGCGGCTGAGGACGTCGAGGTCGACGGTGATTTCGTCGAGGAAGAGCACGGTCCAGGGGCGCAGCAGGCCCATGGCGAGCTGCACCCGGCGGCGCTCGCCGTCGGACACGGCGTGCATACGCCACGACGGGTCAATGTCGAGCATGGCAACGAGCTCGTCGCGGCGCGCCGGGTAGGCGTCACCGCCGACGCTGCGGAGAAGCTCGGTGACGCCAATGTCGGTGCGCACAATCGGGTTCAGCACCCACTCGAGCCCCAGGTAGGTGACGCCCTCGAGGCCCTCGTGGAAGGGGTCGACGCCGCCGATGGAGATTGTGCCGCGTGGGCAGAGGCGCTTGCCGGCGAGGAGGCGCAAGAGGGTTGTTTTGCCGGCGCCGTTGGCGCCAATGAGGAGCGTGCGCGAGCGCGGCGGCAGGTCTAGGGAAATGTTGTACACGCCGGTCGAGTAGTCGGGGAACGTGTAGGTCAGGTCGGTGACCTTGATGGAAGGCGGATTCTGCTTGGAGGCCATGGCGATCGTGGCGGCGGCGGGCGGGTGGTTGATGAGGATCGACTTTGTTGAGAGAGCAAGGGAAAGCGGTGATGAAAAACCAAAAAAAAGGGTGATGAGCAGGGGGGAGGATGAGATTCGAGTATTTATAGAAAGAGATGCCGTGACGATGTTGGAGAAATTTTGTCCGTCAGGCCATCGTAAGCTGTCAATTGGTGGTGGGGTGACAAACGCGGGGCAAGTGGAAGCGGCACTAACATCAAGGCTTGGTCAGGCGGCAAGGTTACTATGATGCAGGTGCGGGTACGAAGTATTGTTATAAAATCAATGGATGGTAGATATTGATTTTTGGGCCTGATTTCGGGGGATTGACCGATGTGGCGGATGTCGATTTAGACGAGTTCATCTGATGCACGTAGATCCGGGTCCATCCTCACAGCTGATATGAGTCAAGCCTGAAGTGAGAGGTAGCTGGAAGCCACGCTACGACTTATCCATCAAGATGATGAGAGAAAAGTCTATTAAAATTCGTCGAGAGCGAAGTTGGCCATCGAGATTCGAATCGTCGTACACGCATGCTATCTAATGATTGAAGAATATGGCTAACCGCAGTGGAATAGACATGAAAACCACCTACGATAGACAAGCCTGGGTCTGACATCCTGATTGATTGTACTAGAGGTTTCAATTGGGAACTTCGTTGACGAAATTAGTAAATTCACGGCCGAATAACAGCATCATCGCTGATCAAATCCTCTGCCGTCCAAGACCCTGCGCCAGCCACCCCCACAGCGCCACTTTACGCGTCTACCAGACGTCGCGTAAAACGCGGGTACCTCAAACTTGTTCTTTATACCACCTAGATTGCGACAGCAGCTCGCACACCACGGCATTACTCCAACTAGATTGTTCAGTCCTTGCTTTAACCCCTTTTCTGTCAGATCATTACTTTTGCCATCTTGACCACATATACGCAAACCCCCGCCATGGTGACCCTCGAGGAGGTGTCTGGGAGCTTGCTCCAGAAGCCATCGTTAGCTGTCTCCAACCATCTGCGCCGACACTCGCAGGGCCTAAACTCTTTCAAAGACCCTGTTCTGACCACACTATTCTTCTAGAGACACTCCCCTCTTTGTCCCACCGCGCGATGAATCCTTCTACAAGCCGCTCTCGACCTTTACCCTCGACCAGCAGCGCTCCTACCAGCAGCAGTACGGCGACATGTACTTTTTGCGCCTCACCAAGATCAAGCCCGCCGTCGAAGAGGTCGCGGCCGCAGCCTGGGACGGCACCACCGTTGGCGGCGAGACGGCCAAGAAGGTGGATCGCGTGCTCGATGTGCGCCAGGGCGAGCTGTGCTGGGTCGCAGGCACCGTCTACATGGACATGGCGCTGAAGCCCAATATTCTAGAAGACGTATCCAAGGATGTGCGTCGCATTCTCTCTCTTCTTCCATTAATGAGAAGAAAGAAAGATGCTAGTTGAAACGTCGTGTACCCGCTAACATGACATGCAGCGCTGGCTATCCGCGCCAATTTCAACGCAAAAATACTACTCCGACGACGGTAGCGACCAAGTCACCCTCGAAGACGACTCTGGTCGCGTACGGCTCATTGGTGACATCCTCAAGACGGTCCCGCTCGTGACGGGCTGCATCATTGCCGTCATGGGCACCGAAAACACGAGCGGCGAATTCGAGGTGCTGGACCTCAAGCTCCCCGACCTGCCGCCGCAGCCCGACCGCTGGGCGCTCTCCGGCGGCGCCAAGGCCAACGGCAAGCACAAGAAGCAGCAAGACACGGACATGACCGACGCCGATGCCCCGAGCACCACTACCACCACTCACAAGCAGATTGCCATTGTGTCTGGCCTGTCGTTTTCCGGCGCCGACGCCTCGGCCGCCGTCGAGGTCAATCTACTGCTCGAGTATCTGCTCGGTGAAAGCCTTAGCGCCGACGCGCAATCGCAAGTTTCGCATATTAGTCGTCTCATCATTGCTGGCGACTCCATCAGTTCCGCGACGACGACAACGACCGCCGACGAGGATGAGAAGAAGAAGACGACGGCGGCGTCGGCGTCGGCGTCGGCGTCTAGCAAAAAGTACGGCTACGACGCTAGCGCGTACAATGCGCTGCCATCGCAGCTCTTTGATGAGTTTGTCAGCGAGCTGCTGCCCTCGCTGCCTGTAACTCTGCTCCCCGGCGCCCGCGATCCGGCCAACGCGAGCTACCCGCAGCAGCCGCTGCACACGGCGCTTTTCCCCTTGGCGCGCGCGTACGGCGCGGACCCGACGACGACGACGACGAGCAAGGCGGGCGGAGGCGGCGTGCCGGGCTGGTTCGACAGCGTGACGAATCCCTGGGAGGCCGAGGTGGACGGCTGGCGCGTGCTGGGCACCGGCGGCCAAAACGTCGACGACGTTTTCAAGTACGTCGACAGCGAGGACAGACTGGGCATGATGGAGGCCATGTGTCGATGGCGGTGCTGCGCGCCGACTGCGCCGGATACGCTGTGTAAGTGGCTAGCCCGGCCGGATGTGTGTGTTGTTTCAATCACACAAAGGGACCTTTTTTTTTTTTCTTCCTGCTAACGTAGAGGATAATACTTTTTTGCAGGGAGCTACCCGTTTCAGGACGACGACCCGTTTGTGCTCAAGGCCTGCCCGCACTTGTACTTTGTCGGCAACCAGCCCGAGTTTGGCACGCGTGTGATTGATGGGCCCGACGGCCAGAGCGTGCGGCTCGTCGCGGTGCCGTCGTTTGCGGCGTCCAAGGAGATTGTGCTGGTGGACATGGAGACGCTCGAGGTGACCAAGGTCAAGATTGAGACGTCATAGTGTGTCGGTCGGATTCGACCGCCCCTGTGCATCTGAGCAAGATATCATAGATAAGAAGGACCGGGTCCCCATAGCTTTCAAAAACAACTTTTTTCGCCCTTTTTATATTTATTTTCTGTTATTTTCCTTACGATCTGGAGCTTGGCTATGCTGCTCTTATCTCTGACAATGTCATAACCTACACGTGCCACGCCCCCACCACTTCGTGGTTAGGTGCTGCAGGGTTAGGTGGCCACCATAGCCACGTAGTCATAAACGTATTTCCTAAATATAAAAGCTACTTAAAATACTAAAAATATAACCTAAGTATTTTTAGATATATAAGCTACTTTTTTAAGTAAGAAGCTTAAAGTTAGATTTTATATAATATTATTAGATTTTAAAAAGTATAATTAAAAAGTTAAACTTTTTTTACTAAATTTCTTTTTTATAAATTATATAAGTAATATAAAAATATATGAAAAATACTTATAAAGAGAAATCTCTTTAAATAAGAAAACTATCTTTTATTTTATTTTTAAATATTTTATTAAATTTAATAAAATTAAAAGTACTTTTATAATAATGTAAATATACTTTTTTTTAGATATCTTCTTTAATTAATTATATAAATATTTTTTATTTTTATATTAAAAATAAAGATTTTCCAAGAAATTCAAGTATATTTTTCTAATTTTATATAATAAATTAGTAGATTTAATATCTACTATAATAGTTTATTAGTAGATTAGTGGCGTTTACGTGGCTACGGTGGCCACCTAGCCCTCCAGCACCTAACCACGAAGTGGTGGGGGCGTGGCACGTGTATTACGATTCTTCGATCCTTCGCGCGACGACAATAATACAGTACGCCTTCGACATGGGCAATTCCTTTTGCACCAAGGTCCTGATTAACAGTCGACAATCGCATACATTACACACACCTACCCTCAGAGGGACGATATCTTCAAATGGTGTTGCGTACGACTCGACGGTCTTGTGTGTGTGGCATCTACTGCTGTGGGCTTTTTTTTTGCGGTTCTCTTCAAACATCACAATAGGAGGCGGAACGAGATTAGTTCATCTGAAATTAATAGACATATTTGTGTTGCGACTGCAGGAGGATTTGGTTGGTCAAAGCACCTGAACAGCGCCGGGCTCTCCGCGCTGTCAGGGATGCAGCCGCTGACCGGGCGCTTGGCCCCGGCGGCTGCACGCGCCAACCAACAAACGTTCCAGCTTCCCGAAGGCAATTGATTGCCTTCGGCACCTCCGTGGAAGCCGCTTTCAGAGGCAAGCTTTGCCCTAACGCCCGGCTTGATAGTGTGTTTTTCCTTTGTCTTTCCTTGCTCTTTGTTATGGCGCTGTATCTTATATACAGCGCATCTTTCCTGTATTTTGATAGATAGATAATCTGAACAACAACTGAATTGCACCGCATACCTCTGTATCAGGCCTGGCAGAAGCCGTCCTGATACCTGTGCACGCAATTCGACTCAGAACCTGTTTGGGATCGAGTTCTCCCAACACTTTGTAGGAGTCAAAATTGTTTGAAAAAAAGCTAAACATGTGGTTTCGTTGACTACTTGTGGTCTTGATGAGATTTCATTGCTATGATGATTCTGTAATTCAGCTAAATAATATAGGATGTTATAGACCCTCTCAGAGATACCCAGTACTCCCATGATCTTCAAAACACTACCCAGCAACATTTCAAAAGTGATATAGTATCACGTCGGCCGTCCCAGCAAAGTAGAAAACGTTAGCAACCCCGATATTCAAAACCCAATCCTTCCCCCCCCCCCCCCCCCTAAAACTCCAATCCGAGCAGTAATCATTTAGTCCTCGTAATCCCCATCATTCTCATCATCCTGCTCCACGATAATCTCCTCATCAAAAAGCTCCTCCTCCTCCTCCCCTTGCCCATCCTCCCCACCGTCACTCCCATCCTGCTCCCCATCCCCATCGTCGTCAGACCCCTCCACCACCCTCGGGCATCCGCGCTCGCCATACTCAATATCCCGACAAACGCCATCCAGCACGCCACGCAGCTCGCCAAAGGCATCCTCCATGGCCGCCATGCGCGCCGCGCGCCCCAGCTGCATCGCCTCATCCGCGTGCCACGGATCCATAAAGGCATGCTCGCTGACCAGCCTGCCCACCTGGTAGTCGTACATGTTGAGTTCATACGCATACGTCCGCCCCTGTTCCTCCTCCCCGGCACTGCGCGATCCGCGCCCTCGACGCGACCGCCCTCCTCCTCGACGCGGCGGCGGCAGCAGCCGCACAGTCATCTTGTCGCAGGATAGATTGCGAACCACGCGCATCAGCTCCGTGTCCGCGTCGAACCAGTCAAGAAACGTAAAGCCGCCGCTGCCGCTGCCGCTGTCGCCGACGTCCGCCTCCCACACAGGCACGACGCGCAGCTCGATGCTGGCCAGGCGCGTGCGGAAGCCGTCCGGTAGCCACTCGAAGCGGTCGGTGAAGATCTTGACGGCGCTGGTTGCGCGTTTCTGCGCCTCGTCGGCGAAGCGGTTATGCTCTGCTTCGACGCAGATGCGCCGCATGCGGCAAATGTAGCGCGAGAGGTTAATGTCGTACACTTGGAGCGGCTTGCGGCCACGGCGCGTCGTCATCGCCGGCCGGCGCCCTTCTTCAGGCTCCTCCTCGAGATCGCTGGCCGAATGCGGGGCGTCGTCCTGGCCCATGGAGACGACGTCGGCGACATGGTTGACCCCGTCTCGGAGCAGGTAAAGGAACTGATTCTCGCCATATAGCACGGCCGCGGCCTCTTCAAAGGCCGCGGCGCAGGTTCGCATTATGCGGGTGCACAGCTTCAAGTTCTGGTTCCGGTACACCAGCTCCTAACTGGCGTGGACGCGGATCGGCTCCTCCCGCAAGAGAAGATGCCGATAGACCTGGAGCCGCACCTGTTGTGGCAGAGCAAAGAAGCCATCCTTGGCGAACTGGGGAGGGCCGGGGTCGGCGGCGGCGACCGAGGGGCGCGTAGCGGGTGAAATGGCGGGCGCGGCAGGCGACGCAGACAGACGTGGTTGTACGTTGTTGAATGCGGCGATCAAGGCGAGATTGGCATCGGCGCGGGCAATGGCTCCCGGGGAGTGTTCAATGGATGGCACCGGGCGGTCATAATCCGGGATGTAGCTAGGTGTTAGCGGTAAATGTCCTTCATGCCCTCCGGTATCGGCTTCCTCTTCTGCAACTCGTGTTCGCTTGGGTCGATGTTCAGTCTCCAAATCTTCCTCCTCGGGATGTTCAGAGTCGGTGCGCGACTTGCGCTTCTTCTTCTGCTTCTGCTTCTGCTTCTGCTTCTGCTTCTGCTTCTGCTTCTGCTTCTTCCTATCCTTTTCCGAGCCTGGCGCATCCTTGGCACGGTACATGTACTTGTCCCTAAATCCCCATTCAGGCTCATCGTCAGAGGGGTTAGGGATCTTGGGAAGGGGCGCAACAGCCGGGCCACGATTATAGAGCTCCTCGCGCGGAGTTTGCTTCTCGATCCTTATGGTGCGTCGGACGCAAGGGGCCAGGCGGCTAAGCTGTGCCGTGGTTGGATTCTCGATGTCATGGTGGGGATATACCCAGGTAAGGTCGACTCTTTCCTCGCGGATTCGGAGTTCCATGCAGTCAAAGTCGGATGCCATTGACCCCTCTCGTAACGATCGAAGCTCATCATAATCCCTTTCAGGATCATAAGATCTGTTCAAAGTACCATTATTTGCGCGTGCTGTAAAGTTGGCCTGGCGCTCATCGGTGAATGGTCGGACATTTGAGTACTTGAGCCATTTGAACCGCCTGGACGTGGTGGTGGTTGTGGTCATGATGCGATCAGGGAAATGAAGAATAGCAAAAGAAGTGTAAGTGGCCTTGGAATGATGCGGTCAAGGAGGTTGGGTATTCACCGCCTCGATGCGAGTCGCGGTCAAAAAAACGGTCAAGAATTGGTTCAAGTTGAATTGATTAGAAGGGCGTGATGTTTCTTCAAAGAAATGCGGCGACGGTGTGGTTGGGGGTTGGGCAGTGCGGGTGGGAGGTGGGATGTTGCAAAAGAGAGGTTGCAAAAGAGAGGTTGCAAAAGGGAGGTTGACGCTGCTTTATAGGCGGCACCACCACAAAGTTACTGCCCTTTCAATTCACTACCTACGTATCTCCTGTAAAGTTACTGCCCTTTCAATTCACTACGTATCTCCTGTAATGTAACAGCTAGCTGCATCGATTGCCGTTTGCAATTTGAATCGGTACAGCATTAGTAAAGAGTGATACACAATCCTGGAATTCAATCATATTGCCAACCTTGAAACACATCGCTATCTAAATACAGCCCCCTCCTTGCATCAAGCCAAGTGGTATAGTATGCAAAATACAAAACGTTGAGCACCATTCTAGTAGAACAACACCCAAGACGATTGTACATAAACCGCTGATCAAATCAAATTACGCCTCCCAAACTTTTTGTTGCCCCCGGATGCAATCTGCAGACCGGATTTCAGTATTCATTTCCACTCATCAAAACAAAAGAAAGAAAGCAAAGGACCCCGCTTAGGATGCCCATTTCGTGAAATCTACAGAGTCCACAACAGAACAGGTGGGATTGGCCAAGAATCCCACCTCTGTATCGTTGGTGGTTGTAGATGTTGACAGTACAGACGACCGATGGGACGCCTGTTCGCTGGGACTTGTGAAGAATGTTGCCACGCTGGTTCGGCGAAGGCTGTTCAAACTGTCTCGCACGCTACTGCTTGCTCGCGAGCCGTCTCCAAGTCCTGCAGTCGGACCACCTGACAACGACGTCCCAGGAGGCGAAGGCACCAACGTTGTGTTCCTGTTTCCATAGCGTTCCCGCAGACGTTTAATTTCGCGGAGACGACTAGTCCAAGAAGAAATGTGCTCCCCACCTTCCTGGCTATGCCACACCATGGCGAACATGGTCGCATTGAGAGCCAGCAGTCGGATGAACCCGGGCAATGCTCTCAACGATACCATCTTGGTCTCCGATGCCGGCGAAATTGGTGGAAACCCTGGCTTGCTCATGACCTTGACCTTGTAAAACGGCTGACCCGAGTCTGCCTCCGGCTTCGTCTCCCGCCGGACGATAAAAGAAGCTCGCGAGGCCGGGGTGATGACAATGTTGACAAAGTTGAACTGACTTGGAAAGGTATCAAACTTGAATGGATTGCCCGAGTCGTTGAAAATGATGTTGACAAAGTCATTGCCAATGTGTCGCTTCTTCAATGTGCACGAGGGGTCCCGCTCGAGGTTGGTTGGCATTTGCGTCGTGACGTGGAACACAATCTCCGTCACTCTATCACGCCAGCAGAATGTGTACTCCCCATCTGTATCGTATTCCCGATCCAGCCCTTGCGTATTAAACGTCGCACCTTTCAGTCTGGTCAGAGTGCCCAAGTTGTTGAGAAATTCAATGTAATCGCTACTTCCAGACATGTTTGCCAGAATCTCAGCCTCATCAGTCTGGCCCTCGCCAATGTAAATGACTCCGACCTTGTGTCCATCAAGACTAGAGTTTCGGTCAAATACCCGGATAGCTCGATCAACAGCCTCGTCATCGGGCAATGCAATAGGTCTTGCAGCATCAAAACTCTGCGGAATAGGTGACAAGAGTTGCACCAGGATGTGGTTAGGCAGGATTGCATGGCTTGTCGACTGGCCTTCCCTCGCAATGTCCAAGTGATTTTCAATTTGGTGCAGCGGCGGCGGTCGATAGGCTTCACGAATTGTAAAGGCTGAAGTGCCCGACGGCTGTCGCTTCACGACATGCGCCCAGCCCGTCAGTGTGCCTTGCTTCACAGTTACGATGCTATTGCCGATAATCCATCGCTTCTTTCCAATCTGACCAAACCGGTCTTCCGTAAAGTACGGGTCTTTGGCAGATTCGTCAGCATCGGCATACGTGACACGCTGCATAAAATCCACCGAAGTGACGGCTTGCTCTTCAACTTGTTGGGCTGGACCATCCACGTCGGTAAAGAGCTTTCTAACAATCCATGATACATGGTTAGCTCTATCAGGAAGCTTGAGAGCCAAGAACCAGAATATGATGGCATGATAAGCTACGGCGTGTACGTATTGCGGCAAGTCGTCTGACGGAGGGTTGTGACTATTCTCAACATGACCAGATTGCGGTGTCACGGGTGTCGATGCCTCGCTGGCTCTGCTGCTTCGATTCGAAGATCGCTTTTCTCTCGCGTAATCAAGGTATCGAAAGCAGATACCGAAAACTGTACGAAACTCTTCTTCTCTAAAGTTGACATAGACGTCGTGCATTCGGCTTAAACAGGAGAGAAATTCCAAAATATGCACAGACACATGAGGTTGTGTAATGATCTGCGCCATCTGCGTCAAGATTTGGACCAGAGACTTGCTCATGGATAGTGGAAGCTCGTGACAGCAAATAGAGAGTGCATGAATACATGCTTTGGCAGAGCGTTCCCATCCTGATATACCTTGCGCAAAAGTCTTGACAATCTCATCTTCGTCCGACTTTTGAAAGTGCTCATGGTAGCTCAGAATCGTAGTCAAACTTTGATATAGGCAAATGGCTACATCTGCCTTTCTGAGGCCATACATGCTCGGGGGGTCTGGAAGCATATTTGTCCGCAAATGATCGCAAACCATCTTTCGAAGCTCTTGTATTTGAGGAACTGCGCCCTGAAAGATGGCATGGTTGCTCAATTGCAGTGGCAAGTGCACTAGCACAAAGCTGTAGACTTCCCACTCCGCACCCTGCAGAACAGTGAGGACTCCATCAAGCCATGCAGAAATATCCAGTGCGTGTGTGACGCCCAGCGTCGATGACGCCGAGGAAGATGATACCGTCGAGTCATTCGAGTCATCTTGTTCTACATGAGACACCAATACAGGACTGATTGCCGTGGGGACTTCACAGGGCAACGCCTTGGGGTCTGGATACTGCCATAATTGCTGGTGCTTGGCGCTTGTTCTGACACTCGTGCCGCTTGCTGCTCGAATGGGAATGCCTCTCTCGCTTTGGCTGAATGAGACGCCTCTCGACGGACGAACCGGCAATCCATGATCGTTTCGCGAGAGGCGCATAGTTTCCGCAGCTTCCTCGGCCCTTTTTTTGACCAGAGCTGCCTCTGTGCGACAAATTGAAGACGCCAAAAAGTCGACATCCAAGTCGTTGGTGACGTATATCCTGTAGGCCCAGTCTGCACGGAGCCTGAACAGCAGCTTCATGGCCGACAAACGCGCGTCAACTTCGCAGTGACCGGCTTTGCTGATACTTATCAAGACGTTGAAAAGCGCAACACTCTTTTCATAATGGGTGTTCATCAATTGCAAGAACATAGTAACATAGGCCCGCGTCACAGTGTTAGATGGCGATTCCTTCGACAGCAAATCGCGCTTTTCAGCATCGCTTTCGATACCGGGAATCGTAGGTAAAGAAGTTAGAATAGGAGACGTGACCCTGTCATTCGGAACGATACTCTTGAGAGTATGCATGATGCAGTTGAACAAATCCATATCGCAAGATTTAACCACGGAAGTGATGAACGCCATGATAGCACTGAGAACAGGGATGTCAATTTCCTCTGCAACATCCTGAATAATGCGCTTTGTAAGGCGGGGGATGAAGTTCTGCTCAGCCCCATCACCGACCAATTCCACGACATCGTACGCGTCCATGATTGTGCTCAACGCCAGAAGTCGAGTCTTGGAGGGCCGCTTGCGATTCAGAAAGAAGGCATCCAGAACCAAGTTGATGTTCTCCTCCCAATCCAAGTCAGAAGGCGAACAACATCTGAACTCTTGGAAGTAGGTGAGGACGGTTATCGCAGTGGCATCGGCAAGCAGCTCTGGAGCCTGGGTAAAGAAGTTGACAATCGTTTGGCGAGGAATGTAGTTGGTGGTCTTTTGGTTCATCAAAAGGTCAAGACGTGCAATTAGAGTTGTTAGCTCGGCGATGAGGAATTCTTCGGCAGATTCTTCCTTGGCGGTCTTATCGCCGACAACAGCGATGACACGTTTGTAACACTCGGCGCATACGCGTAGCGCAATAGACCAATCTTCGTCAATAATGAGCTTATGCATTTGACCAGCTCCATCATCGAATAATGCATTGATGAGCTGTATGATGGATCCATATACTCTGATAGAATTTGATGCCTTGAGAGCGTTCGCCAGTCCGTCGACCAACAGGGCGTACGGTATAGTTGGGTACCCTTTGTCTGTGCTCTTAGCCAGAAGCTTTTGGAGTACCGCAAGTGCACCGCGGATTTCTCTGCTGGTATCTCTCTCGTTGGAAGAATCTGGGGGTAGGTTTCGGAGAATATCAAGCAAGATACGTACGGTAGCCTGACCATTGTGAGACTTGAAGAGATTGGCGAGTGTATGCCACGAGCTCTTATGAAGGCCTGGAACGAGGCAGAAGATGGAGCCCAGGACCTGAACGCACTCTTTGAGCTTGCCGTTGGGAATGGAGCCGAATGTGACAATGACATCGAGAATTGAAATACAAGATTTGAGATCGTCTTCCACACTGGTGCTCATACAAATATTGAGCAGCATATCGATAAGTTTGGATACGGTGGCTTCGCTGGCCGTATTATAGCCGAACTTCATGACGTCGTGGATGAAGGAAAAAATCTGTGCCAGGTTTTGATCCTCGCCTGATGCGGCGGCGCGTTTGGACGATTTGGAGCCTCTTGCAGCATTTTTGCGCGCCAGCCTGGCAGCATTGTATGCTTGTTGGAGCCAATCAATGACTAGAGGAATGGTTTCATAGTCAAAGCCGGCCAATTTGCGGCCGCCATTTGTCAAGTCAACGAGTGCGGCCAGCTGCAGGTGAAAGTCGTCTGGGTGGGCGGGGGCCGTTATTGTCTGGAAATATTCTTGTCGCTCAAGATCTGTCGATGAAGTATGCTTGACGCACTCGGTCAAGAGCTCCCAGCCAGCAGTTCGGACAGCCGGAGGCTTGTGCTCGTCGATCAAGTCTTTGGCGGCATACCAGATGTCGAGCACGGGATTCAACGGGTATTCGGAAATGGCATATCGCAGAGTATCTGCGGCGGATATGCGCTCGGCGGAGCCACCGGACCTCAAAAGCTCAAGAGCGTCCATGTGGTTCGTGGCGAGACCACGAGAGTGTATAGGTGTGGCATTTATGAATTCCGTCTTTGGTTGAGCTGCAGCAGGCGAGGGAATGTGCGGCGTGGAGCGAGTGCTTTTGGAGCTAGTGAGGCCACGGAGGACGTTGCTGAGGCCGCTGGGGCGGGCTGAGTCTGATGACGGGACATCATTGTCGGGGTGTCGAGACATGTGCTCGTTGTCTTGGGCGCAACGTGTCGGAGAAGAGGGCTAGAAGGGAGTGTGTTAGCTGAAGTGGCCGGGCCAGGATGACGCATCAATGGTGACACAGCGGCCAAATGCCGACGTCTGGGTGCACACAGCAAAGAGAGCAGACACAAGGGCAAGCTTCAGGTTGCTCCCCGCATCGCGCACATTGATGGCTGCATGATCAAGAGCGGGCTGGGGTCTGCGCAAAGTGCATTGGGTAGCGGTGCAGGTGGGCTGCTATGCGACGGGAGGAATGCGTACTGATTAGCGGCCTCGATGAATCAAACGGCGGCAGAAATTTTCTGCTGTGAAAGTGGCGGCAGCATGGAGGAGCGGGACAGAAAAGTAGCGATGGGGATGTTGGACGAGGTGAGAGACGAAGTCGGAGGATCGGTACAGCAGCGAGTAGGCAGTGGGATGAATCGCAACAAGAAGGACGAGGTGATAACGAGCTGCCACTACCAGTATGGCTGCGGTGTTGGAGAGCTATTGTGGAATCATCGGCGGTAGCGTGGGAGCTGTGGAAGAGTAGAGGAGAGATGTGGCAACGGATTCGCAAAAGAATAGAAGTAAGAAGATGAAGAAGAGAGTTGAGCGAACGTGCAAAACGGAACGCAAAATACGAGTTGGATGTGGCGTGTTGATGGGAGCAGGTGACGAAGGATGAATGGCAATTGAATTTTGACAAAGGCGGCGATGAGCAGCGGCGGAGCGGGCGCGTCGAGAAAATTGAAGTCGACTATAATTTCGATGGAAAGCTTAAAGCGGCGAAGGCGAGCCGGGGCGTTGTGGCGGGTGACGGCGGCTCTACTATTTTGGTGGCTGCCACTATTTAAACATTTACAGGGGAGCTATCAGTTAAATAGTACCTTATGGGGATGCCATGGAAAGTACAGGGCAGCTCAACGGCGGCTGAAATACCTAGGTACATGCTTGACAGGTACCTAAACTGAAGATCTGGAAGTTGCTGGAAGAGGACTGTGGCAGCCGTCGTATAAGAATCAAAACAAGTAATAAACAGAATTGATCAAAATTTCGCCGCTTGTAGCCATAGTTTCCACGTTGCCGTGCTTGCGTGATAGACATGCATCTAAAGTTAGTGTGTGTACCTACATGCGTACCACTTAGATATCTAGGCCGGTACTTACCTAGTTATTCACAAGTGCGGGTATCTAAATATTTAGTGGTTTGTATAGGAACCAGGTGAAAGGTACAGCGCGTGCAAGGCGTTGGCGCAGAAATACCTGCTGTACAGCGCACCACTGTACTGGCTGCTCACATACCACATCAATATATTTACGGAGCACAGTTCCAGCCGCTTTCATTCGCAAACATATGCCCGTTCATTAAGCTCCTGAGCTGAACGAGGCTGTCTGACATAAACAGGGGCCTCGAGTAATCTTCTCTCAGATATGTATTGCTGCTGTACGCCTCCGGTGAGACCTGCGTCTGCCAGACTGCCACTGGTAAAGCCTTCTAGGCAGAGGCACAACTGCCAGTCAACCAGTCTAAACATCTGCCGTGCCACGTCTTGTCTCGCATTAATACAAAGTCATATTTGATCCAGCTGCTTATTTCCCCGCGCGCTAGTTGCCGATCCATAGCAAGGGGAAAAGAGCAACCCTTTCGAGAGGCGACTCGGCATAGCGCATGTCTCGTCCCCGCGTCGCACGTTAAAGGTGCCTCGCATCCATACAGCTAGCTGCTTCAAGATCCGGACTTGTATAATCTAGTCGGCAATCTATGAAAATTTGGGCTGACGAGTCTACGAATGATACAACCCGCATTCGAATATCCTTGAAAACAGCACTCACAACTAAGGTAGCTAGCCTATACACCTGGAACCAACAGGTCGAGCCGATCTTGCGTTTTTATGAAGCAAATTTCGATTGTAAGTCGAGACAAACTGCCGAAACAAGCTGGCCTATATCTACCTAGTATTACATAGTGCTGTACTAATTAGAGCCCAAATCTCCTCTTTATTATTATAGAGGTTTTCCGAGGCGGGGTCCTCACATGTATGCCTGCCTACCTTACCTTCCTAGCTAGGTGCCTATCCTCTGAGGCTTCTACTACGCTACCTGGAGCCTGCAAAAGAAAATCTCAGAGGCCAGAAATGATGATGCATAGTTTCTTCAGCTTCCTCCCGATAACGTGGTATTACTGGTCGCACGAACTGTACACCAAAGCTTGGGCCAGCAGTCTCGACCTCACTGTAGAGCACCATCGCCCCCCCACTCCTTATCCTGCGTTGTCCCGCAACCACGAAAAGTCCACAACATCAACCATCCCAGCTCCTGCTTCCATCACCTTCACCCACGCCCTGGTTGTAATCCACGCAAACTCTTCAAAATGGCGGCCGATATGGAGCAAATCGCCCAGCTTCTCAACGCTACTCTCGATCCCTCCCAGCACAGAAAAGGTACCCTGCTCTCCAGCTCTCCAGCTCCCAGCTCACACCCTGGTCCCCCGCCTCTTCTGCCCAAGCTAACAAACGAACGCTGCCAGCCGAATCGGCCTTGAAGCACGAGGCCTCAAAGCCCCAATACTCGCTGGCGCTTCTCACAATCGTCAGCAGCGAATCTGCCCCTGCCAACACGAGGCTTGCCGCCGCCCTCGCCTTTAAGAATTTTATCCGCACAAACTATGTTGTACGTCGCCCGCCGTCGCACAACCTTGCTACCCGCCGCCAACTCGACGCGACGCGCCAAGCTGACATGCCTTAGGATGAGGAAGGAAACTACAAAATCTCGGAATCCGAGGTTCAAACCATCAAAGATCGCCTTGTCGGTCTCATGATTGCTTGCCCACCCAATGTGCAGGCACAGCTTGGCGAGGCCATCAGCGTAATCGCCGACTCCGACTTTTGGAGGCGGTGGGACACCCTCACACAGGTAGGCTCTGCTCCCCCTTTGCTCATGACAGCCAGCTGACTACTTGTTGCAAGGATCTCGTTAGTCGATTTTCCGTCACCGATCCCAAGATCAATGTCGGCGTTCTCGAAGTCGCACACTCCATTTTCAACAGATGGCGCCCGCTAGGAAAGACGGATGAGCTGTACATTGAAATCAATCATGTGCTGCAAACCTTTGGCCAACCCTTCTTCCAGCTTCTTGTCGTGCGTACCAAGTTTCAGCAGGCCATGTATTCTGCTCGCTAACGAAAGTCATACAGACTACCGACGACAAGATTCAACAACATGCCAACGACAAGCAGGCTCTTCACGGATGGTTCGAGGTCCTTGATCTCCAGGTCAAAATCATGTACGATCTTTCGAGCCACGATCTTCCCCCCATCTTCGAAGACAATCTTCCCAGCATAGCCGAACTTTTGCACAAGTACCTTACATACACCAACCCGCTGCTAGACACCGACGACGAGTCCGAAGTCAGTATTGCCGATACAGTCAAGGCCAACATCTGCGAGATCCTTGTTCTCTACACTTTTAAATACGACGACGCATTCTCCCAATACTGCCAGCCATTCATCACCAGCGCTTGGAACTTACTTTCAGCTACTGGTACAGAGACGAAATACGACATTCTCGTCAGCAAAGCTCTGCACTTCCTCACGGCTGTCACTGCCACTGCGCAATACTCTGGCTTGTTCAACAGCGAGGATGTCATTACACAAATCGTCGAAAAGGTTATTCTGCCTAACGTCACCCTTCGCGAATCTGATGTCGAGCTCTTCGAAGACGAGCCAATCGAGTATATTCGTCGCGACTTGGAAGGTTCCGACAACGACTCCCGTAGACGCTCCGCCACCGATTTCCTCCGTAAGCTGCAGGAGAAGTTTGAGAGCCTGGTGACTACCGCAGTCTCAAAATACATCAACCATTACCTGAATCTTGGAAAGACGGATTGGAAGGCCAAGGATACTGCCATATACCTGTTCCTGTCTATTGCCGCCAAGGGAGCCGTCACCGCTGCACAGGGTGTCAAGACGGTGAACCCCTTGGTCAACATTGTTCAATTTTTTGAGCAACACATTGCCGCAGATCTTGTCGCCCCTGACAACTCGGAGCCGATTCCCAAGGTTGATGCCATCAAATTTCTCTACACATTCCGGAGTCAGCTCAACATGGAGCAGTGGAAGCAAGCCATTGGTCCTCTGGTCCGAAACCTCAACTCCTCCAACTACGTCGTATACACGTACGCCGCTATCTCTGTCGAGCGTGTGCTCTATTTGACTGATGACAATGGCAACCGCACCTTCAACCGCGAAGACGTTGAGCCACTCTCTAAGGATCTGTTGGATCACCTCTTCAAGCTAATTGAGAAGGACCACAGCCCGGCTAAGCTCCAGGAAAACGAATTTTTGATGCGCTGCGTTATGCGTATTCTCATCGTCATCAAAGATGGCGCAGCTCCCGTACTCGACAACGCGCTGACCCACCTAGTTGCCATTACAAACATAATGAAGCAGAATCCGAGTAATCCTCGCTTCTACTACTACCACTTTGAGGCCATGGGTGCTCTGGTTCGCTACTGCGCCGCCAGCAGTGCTCCTATCCTCAACGCTAAACTTTGGGGTCCCTTCCACGAGATTCTCGCGGAAGACGTGACTGAGTTTATGCCATACGTGTTCCAGATTCTCGCCCAACTTCTCGAGTCAAGCCCCGTCGAGACCATCTCGGACAACTACAAAGGTCTTTTGCAGCCACTGCTGGCGGCTCCTCTTTGGGAAACCAGAGGCAATATTCCTGCCTGTACCAGGCTCTTGTCTGCCGTTATCCCCAAAGCTTCTGTCGACATTGCGGCGAACAAGCAATTGGAGCCACTTCTGGGCATCTTTCAGAACCTGCTGAGTAGTAAGAGATTTGAGCTAAATGCCTTTGACATTCTGGATGCCTCTGTCAACGCCTTTGAGCCGTAAGTCGAAGGAAGACTATCAGACTCCGATGACTATACTAACGTTTAATCGCAGGGCCGTCCTCGATCAGTACTTTGGCACTATTTTACAGCTCATTTACACCAAGCTGCAAGGCAACCCGGGTCAAGCCCTGAAGCTCCGCTTCGTGCGCTTCTTCCACCTTGTCAGCTCCCGTCTGGAGGCTGGATACGGATCTGACTTCTTCATCAAGCACTCTGATAAAGTCGATGAAAAGGCCTTTGCCCAAGTCTACCCGCCCTTTGTGCTCGCTGAGACGGAAAAGCTTGCTCGACCCATCGACCGCAAGTTGGCCGTCATTTCGCTGACCAAGATCCTTTGTGACTCGACCATCTTCGCGCAAAAGTTTATGAAGGGATGGGGCAACACGTGCCGTATACTGCTGTCGCTCATGGCCAACCCGCCCGCGGTGGCGGCCGGCGGCGGTGACGAGATTCTCGCCGAGTCGCCCGTTGACGACATTGGCTTCGGCACCTCGTACACGCCCCTCAACACTTGCAAGCCGCTGGCGCGCGACGACTTTCCCGACATCCAGGACGTGCCGAAATGGGTCAAGGAGTACATGGTCAACGCCAACCAGCGCCACAACGGTGCCTTGCAGCGCTTTATTTCGGAGCGCCTGCCGCCGGAGCAACAGCAGGCAATTGCGCAGTATCTTGTTTGAAATGGATCTGCGTACAGTCATGGGGTTGCAGGATAAAAAGGGGAAACCATTTAGGAAATTCAAGAGCATTTTCAAAGTACAAAGTGGTAGACAAATACCAAGGGCGTTTCATGTGAAGCGATTTTTATGTAAGGGAATGGAGATAATCATGGCTAGCTTTTTTACAGAAGGGTAGGGCGGTGGTTGCTGCATGGTGCAAAAAAAGAAAATTGTACACAGATGGGCACAATTGGGAGGGTTTTGAACAGAAAAGGTGGCCAAGTGGCACCAAGTTTGGGCAGCAAATTTACAGCTCTTCATCTGTATCGGAATGCGAAAATACAGTCAACAGTTGATATGTACCCAAAAGCGATGTTAAATAAATAGTCTTGTTGTATTCCAAGAATGTACGACACATGATGTGCGTCATCCCTGGTATAATCCTAGGTATATTGCGAGGAAAAGAGGATGGAAAACAGCTATCCCGTATTTAATAAAGGAAATATACAGACATGAAAACAAAAGCCCCGTCATCAAGCATGTCAAAGGTGGGGGGGATGGATGTGACCCAGAATGAGAGGACAGCACAGAGGCCGTCTTTAAAGACGTATAAGCAAAGACAAGGCAACGCAGAGTTCATAAAGTCGGTGCGTTGCGGTGTAGGTAAGGCAGTTTGTTCTTGGCGTCGTGAGTGTCGTGATTGGGGAAGTAAATGATGGGAGAAAGGCATGATGCGAGCAAGAAAGGATAGAGGAAAGAGGTGTGTGACGCAGAAATTGCTGGCCAGGAGCAGCACGGCTGTGGAAGTGGTATCATTGTTGCTGTTCGTACAAGTTGCGTAACCGGGGTAAACAGAACTTGGCAATCACGTTTAGAGCACGCGTCCGCGTCCGCATCATGGTCAATGATAAGACGGTCTATAGGAAACCACCCTCGGACGATACGACATTAACACTGCCTCGCCAGCCGCATTTTTGGTCTTCTCGGTTTCTCGTAGCCTGGCTGCTTCCGCGGATAGAGAGGTTGGCTCGCGGAACAGAGGAACTGACATCGACCTCGCTGCTTCGCCGGCTACTGGCGCCACTGGCATTTGTTTGCACGAGCAAGAGGCTGCTCGTGCTTGAGAATCGTTTGGTAATGTCATTGAGACTAAGCCTCTTGGAACTGGAGCCAGAGGTACGCTTCTCCGCAGAGGGCTTGCGCGGATCCTCGGGGATCTTGCTAGGCACATTAGGTATGTCGTGAGGAGCGGCTGGGGCAACAAGATGAGGTGTACTTTGTGTACGCTGTGCGCCAGGTCGGCTCTTGGCATGCGCAGTGTGAGGGCGCACTGGCGGAGCAGTGACGATGGCAGCTGGGGCCGTGTCGGCGTGATAACTGAGGTGATTCCGCGAAGCTGAAGGTCTGTGGCCAGATCGGCCTTGATCTTGGCCGTTGCGACCGGCTATGAAATTCAAAGCCCTTTGAGCGCTTGGGGAAATCAAGTTCGTTTTGCGAGAATGCCCGTGTGCGTCGTCTCCAGCATCCGTACTGTGAGAGCCGTCGGACTGATCATCTTCCGAGTCATCATCGTCAAATCTGCTTTCGAAAGCGAGACGTTTCCTCTTGTCGGCCTCTTCTTTCTGCAATCTTCGTTGTTCAGCGTCACGCATCAGTGCATCAAATCTGGCGATGGAGCTAAGTTTCTCCTGCCCAGGGATATCTGGGATCGCAAACGGAACATGGCCCAGCTTGAAGGCTCGATCGAGAATGGTTTCGCCTGGGGCTGGAGGCGCATTCACGTCGGGGATATCGCTGTAAAAGCCATGGCTGCTCATACTGTCCCGCATGTGAGCGGGCGAATTGACGGCCGAGCGGCCGTAGGCCGAGCTGGAAGTCCACCCATCCCTCGATTCGCCAATTAGTTCATTGGAAGGGCCAATATCAGTCGGTAGGACAGTCGTGTACAGTTGGCCGGGGATGTGATAATTGTTGTTACTAGTCGAAGGAGAGGAGAGATCGCTGCGTTTGGACCGAAGACTGGGCGAGTGAGAGTCAAAAGTCACAGGGCGTTCCCTGTGGCTAGTCGAATACGTCGCGGTAGAGCTCTTGTGCTGCAGGCGGTTGCCACTGCTCCCGGGTCTTGAAAAGTGCTCTGGCAAGTCCCGGCAGCGCGTGGGGAAAGGGCTGTTGAAGACAGGGGAGGCGGGGCTTTCCGAGTTGGACATGGACTTCTTGGACAAGAGAAATCGAGCCCAGTCGTCGAGGGTGTGCTTCTTATGTTGGGGAGCGGCACGAAACCAAAGAGCAGTCGCGCCCGAGTCTTTGTTACTGGAGATGAGGCCTGCCGCACGGCTAGAACGACGCTTGCGATCCTTGTCGCAGAGGGTTATAACGAGAGTTGGCTGCGCAACGGCCTTGTTCCGGTGGGAAACATTTTGAACTTGGCAATCGGTGATTAAGGATGCGCTCCACTGCTGGATAGGCTCCGAATCGTCCTGTGAGAATGGATAAGCAAAGGACTGAGTGAGGACTCAAGACGAAGAAGAATACCTTGTATTTATATACAGATACAAAGCATTCGTCACCAGCAGGATTTGGCAGGCTTTTAGCAACGGTGCGATTCCCATTGTGACCGGAAAGACCATTCTCGCGGAGGGCCCGTGTTTTCGGACCGACGAAGACGTATCGTGTCTAATAAGAGGGTTTAGTTGTCAACAGCAGCGCATGCGACGAGAAAAGGCAAAAACGCACTTTCCAACTAGCTCTCCCGATGATCTGGGTGCGATCTGGAGGGACAAGCAAGAAGCCATCGAAAGTCTCCATGGTTTTGTCTGGCGCAGAGCCGGGCCTGGCCGCAGGGAAGTGGTTGGCGCGGCGTGAGGAGCGAGTGCTAAGGGATCATGCTGGAGAGGCGGGGAGTCGAGCGAGGCAGAGTCGATGCCGCAGCCAGGTTCACAGAGGCGCCGTGAGTTAAGAGAGATATTTTCTTGGCTGCTTATTGGGGCGATTGGCAGTTGATGGTAATGGGAAAGTCGGTCGATGTTTCGTTTGCAGAGGCGTCGAGGGACGGGTGGCGGGCGGCAGGAAGTGAATTGAACTGGAGCGGTCTAGAGAGGGGTCGGTTGAAGGAGGAGGAAGCAATCGCGGCCAAGATGAAGATGTCCAAGACGGATGTAGAATGGTGGGAGCTAGAGCGCAGTAAAGAAAAGAATGGCGACGGGGTGTGTGTGCAGCAGAATACAACGCCAGGTCGCAACTAAAAAGTTAGTGGTAGCTATGTAGGTATTAGAGGAAAGATGAAAGAGGTGAGGTGAGGGCGCTTGGGAGTCGCAGCACGACGAAAGGAGGCCGGGGTTGCTTGTACAAGTAGATTGCAGGTAGATGCTTGAGGAGACAAGGTACCGATGCAGGCAGGTGTAGGTGGAGAGATACATTTAAGAGGCAAGGGGCGACTCAAGTGCACACCTTGGAGTGGGTGTGCTGGATGGCTTAGTGGATGATGGAACGACTTTTAGCGGCAAAAAAAGGGTCCGCAACATGGCCTACTCCGTAAATACCTACCTAGGTACTTTACAGAGTAAAGGCTAAATAGGTATTTACCTTACCTACCTAGACAGCTGTCTTTGTACCTGAGAGCCTGAGCTGCCTAGGTAGGTAAGTAGGTACCTGGGTGCTTGGGTACACTTTTCGCTGGAGCCGCCGAGCTACTACTCGGACGCCCGGACTGCTCATCTCCTCTATTGAGCCTGGGGTGCAGATAATAATGGTGATGATATTGATAATAATAATAATATCATCAATGTATCAATAATGAATCTGCAAAGACCAGGAGAAAAATGTGATACAAGACAAAACTCAATCGCATCAATTAGCCACCAATTCAAGACATGCCGTGCCATTTGATACCTGAGTACTTGGGTACCTGATTTGCTTGTCTGGCAAGCTGGCCTGGGTACAAGTTTGACAGTACACACCACTGCCTCATCAGCATCCGTACCTGAAAAAATCATGCTGTTCCTAGGTAGTTAACTGGTACAAGCTTGCAAAAAAGAGACTCAAGGTTGCCAAGGCAC